ACATTATATATTGTTACGGTAGTGACGATCGTGTATCCCAATATTTCAGAACTCCGATGACATCCACCTCGTCAAACCTCAACGTATGCCAAATACAGCTGATGATTGTGATGCCAAGGCCCTAAAACAGGTGATATGATGCATCCGAAAAGACTTACCGCCATTTGCCAAAAGTGTATCAAACGTTCGACCTAAGAAACACCGCCTTGGCTCATGGCTGGTGTCTGCAACATTTTAGGAGAATGTGGAAGTAGAACACCTGTGAAATGTAAATGTGAATGTGATTACTGCTCACTGTCCAGTCTTCAGAAACACATTTCAGTAATTCAAGTTCTTTTTGTCCTTGCTTTTTTGATGAATGTGTTAATGTGTTTGGTTGGCAGTACCTATTTGATAACAGGTGATATTTTAACAGTTATAGACTAGAGTTGAGTTTCAAATTTGTGGGTAGGTATTTGTGGGGCCAACTCAGCCAAAATCAGCCTGCTGGTAGTTGTGTTTGGACAATGGATGGCTGCTGGGTGGGACAGTTACTGAAACTGCCAAAATGTGGCATCTCTTGTATCGGGGTAAGCTAGAATCAAGAATGCAGGTTTTTTAGTATGCCGGTAATTTGGCGGTTTTTTCATAGAGATCTTATATACATAGAGATGACACTAGGGTTACCCGCGTGCTCCGCAACGCAAAGGGGGGATTTTTTGACCCGTGGGTATTGGGTTGGTCTGTGTCGATTTGGTTGGTAGATATCCATTTCGTTCGATTGCTTTTTGACGGCCAAGCATTTTGTAAGAAAACAAAAAGATACATCGCATCGAGGTGCCCGTGTCGTATTATCATGCGTTCTACTAAAGAATGATTCGAAAACTGGCGTGAAGTCTTTTGAGGGTCATCAATGAATTTCGCTAAAAATGACAATGAAATGGTTTGGAACATTTACATTTTTAAGAATACTGTTGCTCATCATGCAAAAATGAAGAGTGAATATTGGACAGAATTGAATGCTCTATCCAATGGTACCATATTCAATTGCCAAAGGTATCAGGTTATGCAGCAAACCCCGTGTGATTAATAAAGTGGCACAAAATTGACAAACACCATTTTCTCCTGTGATTTGCACCACCTTGATTTGGATCAATCAGCTTTTCACAATTTTTATATGAGAGGCGGTACCTTTCTCTTGCAAATAGGCGTTGATTCAACTCGCTCCATTTAACGGTCACCTAAAAATAAAATTAATTCCAAAATCCCTCAAAAACCGCAATTTTTCAAATAAAAGTGCCCTCTCCGGTGCACGTGGCGCGTGCTATCCTCTGCATTGCACACCATTCAATAGCCCGTTCAATTCTGTACACGATGCTGTTTTCCCCGTGCCGGTCGGACCCCTGGTCACCAAGATATTGCACGGGAACTGGACCCGTGTCGGCCAAAATTAGCCGTTTTCGCCCGATTTCGCACGCCGATTTATACATGTAAAGTCTATGACGCGAATTTGCACTTTTTGGGCACGCGCCACGCGCTCGCTAACGACCCGATCGAGCTGAGACCCCTCAAAGGCACGTCACGCATCCTTGATCTATGAGTTGTGCAAATTTCGCCGGGCTAGGTGCAACGGTCTGGCCTGTAGTCCACGCAAAGCACCATCAAGTCGGGACCTCGGTAACGGACAGACGCACCCTCCTCAAATAGTAATATAGACAAGCGGCTGCGCCACTTGCTTTGCTGCGTGGTAGGAAAAGATTGCGGCACCAGCCAATTTGCTTTCGAATGGTGTTCGTTTCAAATCGATGTGTTGGCTAGAAGCATAGATATTGGACGGAAATGTAAAGAGAATTATAAAAGAGCTGTTCTGGGGGCTTAGTTGGATGAAATTTGGCTGATAGGGGGTCAAGACGGGCCAAAGGGGTCAGCCCCGGTCACTTTGGGTCAGGCCAGGTCACATAGGCCACCTCTCGTCCGGTGGGATCAGCCCGGGCCACTGTTCTACTTTTGCCTCCACCACTACCCCTACCCCTACCACTACCCCTACCACTACCCCTACCTCTACCACTACCCCTACCACTACTCCTACCACTACCCCTACTACTACCCCTACCCCTGCCCCTACCACTACATCTGCCACTACCACTACCCCTACCACTACCCCTACCACTACCCCTACCACTACCCCTACTACTACCCCTACTACCCCTACTACTACCCCTACCCCTACTACTACTCCTACCACTAGCCCTACCCCTACCACTACACTACCCCTACCACTACTCCTACCACTACCCCTACTACTACCCCTACCCCTACTACTACCCCTACCCCTGCCCCTACCACTACATCTGCCACTACCACTACCCCTACCACTACCCCTACCACTACCCCTACCACTACCCCTACCACTACCCCTACTACTACCCCTACTACTACCCCTACCCCTACTACTACTCCTACCTACCACTACCCCTACCCCTACCTCTACCACTACACTACCCCTACCACTACCCCTACCACTACCCCTACTACTACTCCTACCACTACCCCTACCCCTACCCCTACCACTACACTACCCCTACCACTACCCCTACCCCTACCCCTACCAACACCGCTGGGTCATGTCAGGTCACAGAATAATTGGATCCAATCAGTACTAAAATATCAGACTTAAAGTGTTCCCAGCCCTGCCCCTGTTCGTACCATTCCATTACCCTTACTCGATTTTGTCGGAAATGGCGCTTTGTGGCAAATGTGGCGCATTGCGGCAAATGCGGCGCATCTGTACCTTTCGTTTGAGCATGCACCCTTGCACCAAATTGTACCCTTCTCGGGCCATATTTGACAAAACTGTGCGAGCTGCGGCAAAAATGGCGCCTTGTGACCAATGTGACGCATTGCGGCAAACGCGGTGCGTTTTTATACTTCTATCACAAAATCTTCCCATTGAACGAAAATCAACACATTCTCTCGCCACTTTTTATTCAAATTAAAACTTGCCCATCCGCCAATGCGAGGCACCCGCCGCCGATCGGCATGCATTTAGTTCACAAAGTTTGTCGACCCCGGCTCTCAATGAAGATCTACGAACCGATCAAAATTTCATTGGCGTTCTTCCGGCGCGCGTCACGTGCCAACCGTGGACCCCAGCGAGTCAAAACCTAGAAAAGGCGTTGACCCGCTCTTTCACCTATAAGGTGTGCAAATTTCAATCTCCTACGACGAACCGTCTGCCCTGTAGCCGTAACAAATTGAACCCACTACACGATGTGCGGACACACACACTCACACACTCACAGACAGACGGATTCTGTTGGAATAGTAAGTTAGATGCACTTAAAATCGTGGCGATTCAGTGGGTCTTTTTAAGCAACTTATTTTCAGCTAAATCAGCCAGCAGCGTGCCAATATGGCTGAGGCATTGTCAGCCTGAAGAAATCATTAACAATATTGCTGTTCTTTCCTTACTGATTTCATTGCTGAGGTAAGCAATGAAATTTGTAGCATGATTTCATTTTCAGTGTTTTTATTGGATTCCAAGCTCGCATAAAAAGATTCCCTCTCATTCAGGTTCTCAGTAATCAAGGTCATAATTTGACCGGACAGGGTCATGCTGCATGTTAGTCGATCCGTATCGTCAAGCTGAACACATTTGACGTGTTTTCACCACTCAAGCACGTCTCTATCTCTATCGTTTGCAAACGGCCTGGGCGGCCCAGTCAGTTTGCAAACGGACTGAAAAGTCAGGCCGTTTGCAAACTGCCTGAAATTTCAGGCCGTTTGGAAATCGCCTATATAGGCCGTATGGCAGCTATTAGGCACCAGGCCGTTTGCAAACGGCCTAGCTAGGCAGTTTGAGAACTGTCTGGTCAGTGTGAAGACAGCTGGACAATGTTGAGAGCAATAGTTTGTTGAAACACGACTGTTAGCAATATGTCGCCCCATGGACTGCCTGTGGCATGATTTCACCAGGTTCCATAAGCTGGATGAATGTTAACCCTCGCCCGTATAGGGGGGGGGGGGGACCGGAGTTACCATACAGTGCATTGGTGTGATGCCTCCGGGTAGCTCTGCCCCTCCTGGACAAAATCCGTTGTGCCGTGCCTGCAGCCAGGCCCATGTCACTCCACTTTTGATGACATCCTAAGGGGGCCTAAGGACAATAATGGCGCGGTGCGCCACAATCGCTTCAAAGCTTCTTGCCAACAGTTGCCATTTGTAAAAATATTATTTTGAAATAAAGTTTCAAATAATGAAAATATTGTAATGAAGTTGTTAATTAACTCGATTCCATATCTAAAAACTTACTGAAAAATGATTTCTTCATAGTACAAATATAAGCTCGATGCGTTTTTACGTTGCTTTCATGCAACTGCAGACAGCAGAGGGTTTTTAAATCGTCTATATCTTCGAAACCGGCCATTTCTTAGCATATTGCTGCTCTTTTTCATCACTAGAAAATTAGTTGGTCTTTCCATTGACATCAACGGTTGAGCGGTATCTGTAGAGTGTCACTTACAATCTTGAAATGAAGTTTGTCATTTTAACGTTGTAAAGGAATAGAGTAGGTACCCCTTGCGAGTATCAGGGGTGACGTCACTGAGGATGTGCCTCTGATTGGTCGGCGGGGAGTTACTGTACCTTCTATAGATGGCCTTGCCTGCAGCTGTATCAGTTGGTTTATCTACATCAATAAATTGCAATTCATATAATCTACGCTGCTGCCTGCTGGATGCAGAGGATGGCCACGGTCCACGGATAGCGTTTGCACCAGAATCCGATGGAAAGCCTTTGTCGGTGCATGAAAAGGTGAACACTTGCCGGCTTCCTTTCACCTCCGATTTCATTCTCTGGTTTTCATTCCGAAAAAGTTGGGTGCTGGCTTGTAGCTTTGGATGCAGCTCGAGCCCGAGTGGGGATAGGGGCTCAAGTGCATTACCAGCCCCTGGCCGAAAAGTCTAAGGGGCTTAGCCCCGCCAGTTCTCCGTTCCCCTGCCCTGCGCTTTTAAGTACAAACGTTTTTGTCAAGTCATTTTATTTATGAAGCACCTCGCCCACACATATCGGATACGCCAGTCACCGAAGCAGACACCTGTCGGCGAATCCCCTGTTCGAGTCCACCACTGGTGAGCGCCGCCCACGGCGGCTAGTTTTCACAGCGCGAGCAGCGGCAGTCGGAGGGCTCGCGCAGTTTGACCGTCAGCCGGCCCTGGTCGCCGGCCACTTGCTGACCGTCCGGGTTGAAGCAGCGCGTCAGCGTGATCTCGCGCACGCGCAGACCAGTCTCCTTACAGCAGCTGCACTCCTGCCGGTCAGACGGTCAGACGGTCAGACGACACACACAGACCGGTCTCGTTACAGCAGCTGCACCCCTGCCGGTCAGACGGTCAGACGACACACACAAACCGGTCTCCTTACAGCAGCTGCACCCCTGCCGGTCAGACGGTCAGACGGTCAGACGACACACGTAGACCGGTCTCCTTACAGCAGGTGCACCCCTGCCGGTCAGACGGTCAGACGGTCAGACGACACACGTAGACCGGTCTCCTTACAGGAGGTGCACCCCTGACGGTCAGACGGTCAGACGACACACGTAGACCGGTCTCCTTAAAGCAGGTGCACTCCTGCCGGTCAGACGGTCAGACGACACACACAGACCGGTCTCCTTACAGCAGGTGCACCCCTGCCGCGCGGTCAGACGGCCAGACGACACACACAGACCGGTCTCGTTACAGCAGCTGCACCCCTGCCGGTCAGACGGTTAGACGACACACGCAGGCCGGTCTCCTTACAGCAGTTGCACCCCTGCCGGTCAGACGGTTAGACGGTCAGACGGTCAGACGTCGCTCAGTCAGTCAGTAGCCGCGGCTGCCGGCAGGTCGGCCAGACGCACCGCACTCGCATCCCCTCCTCCCTCCTTTGGACATGGTGGGCGCGGCTCAGACTCATGCACGGCTTGTACAATTGCGTGCACTTACATAATTGTCCTACCATGAATTGTCGAGGCAATAGCTAACAGTAACGACTCAACTGAACTTCGTCAGGTATTTTATCATTCACAGATCACCAGCGTCGTCACGAATCGAATCAAGTCAGCGGTCAGCGCGGCGGTGCCGCCTGCTTCCGGACCTGTCCGGGGGTGTCCGGACCCGTCCGGGGGTGACCGGGGGCGACCGGACCCGTCCGGGGGTGTCCGGACCTGTCCGGGGGTGTCCGGATCCGTCCGGGGGTGTCCGGACCCGTCCGGGGGTGTCTGGGCCCGTCCGGGGGTGACCGGGGGTGTCTGGACCCGTCCGGGGGTGACCGGGGGTGTCCGCACCCGTCCGGGGGTGTCCGGAGCCGTCGGGGGATGTCCGGAGCCGTCCGGGGGTGTCCGGAGCCGCCCGGGGGTGTCTGGACCCGTCCGGGGGTGACCGGGGGTGTTTGGACCCGTCCGGGGGTGACCGGGGGTGTCCGGAGCCGTCGGGGGATGTCCGGAGCCGTCCGGGGGTGTCGGGAGCCGTCCGGGGGTGTCCGGGGGTGACCGGGGGCGACCGGACCCGTCCGGAGGTGTCCGGAGCCGTCCGGGGGTGACCGGGGGCGACCGGACCCGTCCGGGGGTGTCCGGAGCCGTCCGGGGGTGTCCGGACCCGTCCGGGGGTGTCCGGATCCGTCCGGGGGTGTCCGGAGCCGTCCGGGGGTGACCGGGGTGTCCGGAGCCGTCCGGGGGTGACCGGGGTGTCCGGATCCGTCCGGGGGTGTCCGGACCCGTCCGGGGGTGACCGGGGGCGACCGGACCCGTCCGGGGGTGTCCGGAGCCGTCCGGGGGTGTCCGGGGTGACGGGGGTGTCCGGAGCCGTCCGGAGGTGTCCGGAGCTGTCCGGGGGTGTCCGGACCCGTCCGGTGGCGGCGCGCCTGACCTTATTGAAGCCGGACGGCGAGATGACCGACGGCTGCACCTGGGAGCTGCACGTGCCTTCGCACTTGTTGACAGGAATGTCGCCCTCGCACGTCCGCTCCAGCTGGCCAGAGGAGCTGAACTCATCTGAGGGAGCAGGACGCCGTCCGTCAGATACCGGCTGCCAGTGGCGTAGCCAGAGATCAGTGAAAGGGGGGCATGGTGCTCGAGGGGGCGACTTTTTCTCTTGAGAGGGGCGCCATTGTCAGCTAGTGACAGGGGCGTCAGTCTAATATGTAACGTCATGTTCATGCATGATTTATTAGGTGTTGCAAAATACGAGTATAAGAACCAGCCTTCGCTGATTTTTCATAAAATCCAATTAATGCAATTTGCAGCCCGGTGTTTTTTTATAAAAAAAATCCTTGATCTTGATAAATTTTAAGCATGATATAGGAAGGGAGCTCAGGCTACAGACATTTTATTCTCAAAATACGCATCCAAGCGAATTCGAAGCGGTAAAATATACGGTGATTGATAGGCACAATCTATATTCTTTGCAAAAAAAAATACAGGCTTACTCACAGATCCAAAGTGACCTTTGGGCTGCAGCCTGTGGTCGACCGGGGTGGCCGTGCTTAGAATCTCAAACCGCACGTATGTAGGATTCACGCTGCGACTCATTGCCTAAATTGGGATCAAGGAAAGACTTGAACATTTAACCCGGCAGTTGCTGGGGTATTTCGCCACCCACCGTTTGCTGGGGGGGGGGGGGCGTTAAACGCCCCCAGCCGATAACTCGAGAACCAATAGGCGCAGCGAAACGCACGAGGCGGCAAACGAAAGAGCGCGACGAGACGCTTCAGATGAGTACTTTAAAGTTGAATTTTGAGGTCACAGGTCGGGTCAAGGTCAGGTCAAACACCTGAAATCGGGCTTTCAGTAGCATGGACTTCAGGACTTCGCAATGGGCGCCTCTCGTCATAAACTCTGTCCAAATGGTGCACAATCCATCATATAAGGCCTACAAGAGTGTCAGCTCCATGTCGGGGTCGGTCAAGCATAGGTCAGGGTCAAGGTCAGGTCAACCGGGTAGGTACATATCCCCGAAAATCAAAACTGATATTCGCAGCCTATGACACATGTTTCATAGGTAATTTGGGGCGTAGAACACGATGGTGACATTCATTTTATCATATGTGTACGTGTTTGGCTCAAAAAGTTCAATTTAAGAAATGCATGTATCATGGTCGTGAAGTAGTCACGAAAAATTGCCAAGATTCAGTTCAAGATTATGGAAAATGCGGAACGATAATCAATAATCGAAGATAGCCATTTGATTGATCATGGTATTGGCAGTCTAATGGCGTTTACGGCATGTCTGTATGTCTATTCTGTGATTTTATATGATTTTTTGAACATATGCCGTTTTTGGTCGAAAACTCAGAAATCATGACGTCACTAAAACCTCGATATCTCAAAAAAATTTTCCAACCGATTTTTTTGAAACTTTGTCACAATAAACTTCAATCAATTCCCTACAGGTACCCAAAATTTCTATGGCCCGGCGAAAAAAGTGGGGGCGTTTAACGCCCCCCCCCCCCCCCAGCAACTCGCGGGTTAAGACTATGAGATCCACCATGAGATCCCAACTCATTGTCATACCAGCAGCGACTGCAGTCAGAGGCGACCGAACGCTGACATACGTTCTGGATTTTTTTCTCCACAAATCACCTTTACAATTCGATGTCTAGTGCGTGCAGCCCCTACTTGTGGACATGCATGACTGCCTCCAGTGACTGACTGTCACTATAGTTGGTTTTTTTTTTGCAAAAGGACGCTGGCTCCAAGTTCCTTATCGAAGCTCTCACGTGAGTTTTGGCAGCTTCAGCGTCTGGCCAAGAATTTCTTACCGAAAAAATATTCGATTTCAAATTGTGCACGGTAAGTACCTGGAAATTGTGTCTTGAAAAATTTGTATACTATGATGACGTCACTGGTGGCAGCGGGCAATCAATGTCCGTACGATGGGACAAGGTTTCGACAAATTTGGGGAAAACTTCGTTTTTCACTGTTGTCGAGGTTATAATCGAGTAATTCCTAAGCGGTTTCGTCCATGATAGTTATACGCTTCATTGCAAAAAAGTTCGACAGCATGAGGTCACCACTGTTCTCATATCTGGCTCCAAAACGCACGAATGGAATTTATCGGGAATAATTCACATGTTAAAACCAGTAAAACGCCTTTTGGGCGAAAAACGAGCGAGCGAGATAGTGAGCCCTGCACGTGCGGAAGGGCGAGAGGGTGCTTCCAACGGGTTTGCGCAAAGCACCCTTCTAACTGGTCGCTAGCGGTGTGGCAAATTTGAACGCAATCGGCCCAGCCGTTCCTGAAATCTGGAAGCGGCATTCTGCACGTGCGCACGTGCAAACGGGGTCCAAAATGACTTTTGCACGGCACCCTACTAACTGGTCCCCAACCGTGTACCAAATTTGAGCGCAATCGGCCCAGCCGTTCTCGAGATCTGGAAACGCCCCCTGCACGTGCGCACGTGCAGTAGCAACCTAACCGCAACACATGGGAATGCATTGCCTGGTGGGTGCCTACCTGTATGCCAAGTTTCACCGAAATCGCCCCAGTAATTACCGAGTTACTGAAATGGGAACAAATTTGGCACCTCTTATTGTTGTATTTTGCACGTGCACTGGGGGTGACCCACATGCATCGAGAGTATCCTATTTTGGGTAGAAGGGATGCTGCTACCCTACAAAAATTACCGCAAGACAATCGCCCAAGCGGCTGCTGAGATATCAGCCTCTCAAAATCACTACTTTTGCAAAACAGCTTGAACACCCTTGACTTTTCACGTGGCACGTGCCACGACGGTCACTGAGATGTATCAAAAGTAGTCAATTACGGGGTAGAAGGGATGGGGCTACCCAACAAAAAAGACCGCAGGCCAATCGGTCCAGCGGTTGCTGAGATATAAGCCTCTCAAAAGCGTTACAGGCCGGGCCGGGCCAGGCCGGGCCGCTCATACTGAGATTTTTCCGTTAATTGAAAAGACTCACTTCGCTCGCTGCGCTCGCTCGCTCGTAATAAGGCGACGTTCGAGTTTCTCAAGTTCAGTTTTTGCTCGTTTTGCTCGCTAAAACGCGTGCTTTTTCGAAAAACATACTTGGAGCCAGAGTCCTTTTGAAAAAAAAAAAAACGAACTAAAAAAATAGCCTCCAGAGGGCAAAAACTCCAAAAATTGCAGTTTTAATTAAAATCATTTTTCTGCAATGACTTTTGACTCAAGACAGTGACGACATTCATTTTGCCAGTATCGTCTTCCTCTCGTCGAAACGCGTCGAATGAACTATTCGTTGACCTTGAAAGGTCATTTTGAAAATTTGACCTCAGGTCAAGACCTGACCGGAAACGGTCATGTTGTATATCAGTCGATCCGTATCGTCGAACTGAACACATCTGACGTGTTTTCACCGCTCTAGCACGTCTCTATCAAAAATTATAGCCAAAGAACTGCTGGTGACCGTTCATGGCCTGAGATGACCTCAGAGGCACACAGAAGGGTCACAGGTGGATTTTTACGATTCAGTGTGTTGTGTTTACCTGTGAACCGATGTTTGAGAGGGTTTTAAACCACATTCGTTCAAAAGAGGCGCATTTCAATTTTCTCCAATTGACTTAGGATGGAGGTTGCAAAATTGACCTGACCCTAGGTCATAGATATCAAAAGTCCGAGATAAACATTTTATACATATTTTTGGTCTTATCAATCTCTGAAAGTTTGAAAAGTGATCGTTCAGTCGGTGTAGCTATAGCGAGCCTTTAAACTTTTTCTGAGGTAAGGTCACTTGACGTGACCTGACCTTGAACGACCCGGGTCTGAAATTTTCACAAGATGTGTAGAAAAGATGTATGAACAGGTGTACCAAAAACGGCGGCGCTGCGCGACGTCGTTTTGGAGATATTCGCAAAAAACCTAGGGGGGCGTAAAAACGCCCCCTCCCCCAGCATGGCGCGGGTTAATGGGAGAAAATTGAAATGCTCTTCTTTTGAACGAAAACACCCTCAAACATCTGGGTACAGGTAAATATGACACATGTAATCGGAAAATTTCACTCGTGATGTGACCCCTTTTATGTTACTGAGGTCATATCAGGCCATGAAAGGTCTTCAGTAGTTTTTGGACAATAACTTTTGATTAGAGATATGGTAGAGCAATGAAACACCTTATATAATTATTTTCCTCCTCAACAATACGGATCGACTAATATGCAATATGACCATTCCCGGTTAGGTGATGACCTTCACCTTTGGTCAAATTCTCAAAATGCCCTTTTAATGTCAAATACTAATTCATTTGATTCGTGTAAAAAAAAATGGAGCACGATGCCGGTTAAACTAATCTCGTGCAGATCTGAGTCAAAAGGTAAAGGTATTACAGATAAACGTCCTCCGCGAAAACGTACATTTTGAGGCTAAAACGTTTACCTTAGGTCAAATCTGAGCAGACTTGTGACAGCTCAAGAAAAAAGTGAGCTCGCTCAGCTCAACTCCGTTTTATCCGCTCCCGCTCAGCTCCCGCTCAGTTTAACACGGCTCAGCTCAGCTCACGCGCCGCTCAAACCGGCTGTGCTCCGCTCACGCTCAGCTCAGCTCAGCTCAGTTTCCGCTCAGCTCAGCTCAGCTCAGTTTCCGCTCAGCTCAGCTCAGCTCAGTTTCCGCTCAGCTCAGCTCAGCTCAGCTTCCGCTCAGCTCAGCTCAGCTCAGTTTCCGCTCAGCTCAGCTCAGCTCAGTTTCCGCTCAGCTCAGTTTCCGCTCAGCTCAGCTCAGTTTCCGCTCAGCTCAGCTCAGTTTCCGCTCAGCTCAGCTCAGCTCAGTTCCCGTTCAGCTCAGCTCAGTTTCCGCTCAATTCAGCTTAGCTCAGTTTCCGCTCAGTTAAATTCACGCTTAGATCGCTCAGTCGTTCTTTTTAAATCGGACATGCTTAACCCTCGCCCGTATAGGGGGGGGGGGTCGAACGGACCCCCCTGTTTTTCGCGAATAACTCGCGTAAAAAGCGGCCGATCGCGACGAAACTTTCAGTACCCTCGCGATAATCAATTTTACACCTATCCTGAAAATTTCATGACCCTGA